TCCGTTCCTCAGAGCGTGATTTTGCTTCATTTGGCGAAAATATCGCTGTGGCCTGGCTTGATTTTCCTTGATTTTTGCTATTTTGTTCCTATGGTATCGCTTGATTTCGGCTGCGTCCTTGCTGTCGTAGTCTTGCTATGTGTGGCTATCGTGGCCCTCGATCATATCGACTTGATTTATCGCTGGTCTTTGCTATCGTAGTCCTCGTCTGCGGTGATGCGTAGCTTGAGGTCGAAATCTGTGTCTGACTTCACTTGATTTTGCTTGATTATGGATGGAATGTTGCTGTGATCGTAGTCTGGCGTGAAGCGTAGCCTGAGGTCAGGGTGTAGCGTGATTTTGGCCAAAATTGGTTTGGTCTGACTGATTTGCTTGATTTTTGCTTGATTTGTTGCTATCTTGTTGCTATTGTATCGCTTGATTTTGCCTGTGTTATTGCTATTGTAGTCTTGCTACGTAAGGATCGTATTGCGTAGCTTGAGGTCGAAATCTGTGTCTGACTTGACTTGATTTTCCTTGATTATGGATGGAATGTTGCTGTGATAGGTCTGACGTCAAGCGTAGGCTGAGGTCAGGGTGTAGCGTGATTTTGGCGAAAATCTTGATCTGGTCTGACTTGATTTTGCTTGATTTTTGCTTGATTTGTTGCTGTTGTATCGCTTGATTTTGGCGTGTTGTTTGCTATTGTAGTCTTGCTACGTAAGGATCGTATTGCGTAGCTGAGGTCGAACTGTGTCTGACTTGACTTGATTTTCCTTGATTTTGGCGAAAATATTGCTGTGGTGTGGTCTCATTTTCCTTGATTTTTGCTTTTATCTTGCTATGGTTTGCTTGTCTGAGCGTAGGGTACCGAGAACCGAGACACCGAGGCAATACGTTTTTATCCTAACCGAGAGATCTAACGGGCGGGGGGGTGGTTTCTAACTCCGGCACTAACAACCGAGACACTAACATGGTACGCCAAGCCTAACATGTGTATGCCCTTGTTATCGTCATCCATCGCAGTCTGTCGTGTCTGTTATCGTATCGTATAGTAGTCTATGTATGGTATTTATTTCATTTTCTTGATGGTGTGACTGTCTTAGTCTGTTGTATAGTGTCCTGATCCTTATCCTGGTCTGATCGGGATGATATTGATTTTCTTGATTTTTGGTGCTGTGGTAAAGCATCGTATTCTTCCTCATTGTCTTGCTTGACTGGGGGATGTGTAGGCTGAGGTCGGAATCTGTGTCCGAGTGAGCTTGATTTTGCTTGATTTTTGCTTATTTTCTTGCCGTGGTATTGCTTGATTTTGGCGAAAATATCGCTATCATGGTCTGGTATTGTCTTGATTTGTTGCTGGTCTTTTCTGTCGTGGAGTCGCTTATGTAGTGCTTGTCTTTGGTGACGTGTAGGCTGAGGTCAGAATCCGTGTCTGACTTGACTTGATTTTGCTTGATATTTGCTATCGTAGTCTTGCGTGTGGTAGCCCTGATTGGGGGGGACGCGTTGGCTGAGGTCAGAATCTGCATGTGAGTTGACTTGATTTTGCTTGATTTTTGCGAAAATATTGCTCTGATATGGTCTCATTTTGCTTGATTTTCTGTGTTTGTATTGATATGGTGCGGTGCTTGACTTGCTAATGTAATGCTTGTCTGATCGGATGGTATATCGTGGTCTTTGCTGTCGTAGTCTTGCGTGCGGTGGTGCTGATTGGGGGTGACATGTAGGCCGAGGTCAGAATCTGCGTGCGAGTCGACTTGATTTTGCTTGATTTTTGCGAAAATATTGCTATGATGTGGTCTGATTTTCCTTGATTTTGGCGTTTGGATTGCTGTGGTACGGCCTGATTGTCTTTGATTTTGGCTGTGATGATGATATTGTATTGCTTGACTTGCTATCGTGATGCTTGTCTGATCGTATGGTATATCGTAGTCTTGCGTGCGGTGGCGCTGATTGGGGGTGATGCGTAGGCTGAGGTCAGAATCTATGTGCGAGTTGACTTGATTTTGCTTGATTTTTGCGAAAATATTGGTCTGATGTCGTCTCGTTTTGCTTGATATTTGGTCTTTGAATCGCTATGGTATTGCTTGACTTGCTATGGTAATGCTTGTCTGATCGTATGGTACCGAGACAACGAGACAACGAGGCAATACGTTTTCATTCTAACCGAGAGATCTAACGGGCGGGGGGGTGGTTTCTAACTCTAGCGCTAACAACCGAGTCACTAACAACCGAGACACTAACATGGTACGCGAAGCCTAACATATGTATGCCCTTGTTTTGCTTATCCTCGGATCGACTATGATATCGAATTGTATTGCATAGTATCGTATGGCATTGCATTTCATATCGTTGACTTGGCTGTCGTGGACTGTTGCATTGTATTGTGTCCTGATCCTTATCCTTGTCATGCGGGTGTTTTCTTGATTTTCGTAGTCTGTGGTATTGCATTCCTGGTCCTGGTCCTGGGCGCATTTTATTGATTTGTCGCTGGTCTTTGCTATTGTAGCGCTTGACTTGGGTGATGCGTAGGCCGAGGTCAGAATCTGCGTCCCAGTTGGCTTGATTTTCGATTTTCCTTGATTTTGGCTGGAATGTCCTTGTGATCGTAGTCCACCTGATGGGGATTGTCTTGATTTTCTTCATTGTCTTTGTCGTAGTCTGGCGTGAAGCGTAGGCCGAGGTCGGATCCTCCGTTCCTCAGAGCGTGATTTTGCTTCATTTTGGCGAAAATATCGCTGTGGCCTGGCTTGATTTTCCTTGATTTTTGCTATTTTGTTCCTATGGTATCGCTTGATTTCGGCTGCGTCCTTGCTGTCGTAGTCTTGCTATGTGTCATATAGGTAGGGTGAAATAAGCTGGCGCCTGCCTATTTGTCTCATGAGTTTGCTTCCTTCCTTTGTGCCCAAGGTAGATAATCTCTCTATGTCCAAGAACTTGACTGCTCAACACTCAATCACATTCACAGACACATTTGACACACCAAAATAGTTGGTTGACCGATTGTTTCTGAGTGATCATTATACTGAGGCGCAACAACAGTCATTGAATTACTTGATATTCCAAATCATTGTTTTGTGAGACACCAAAACAGTTGGTTGATCGATTATTTCTGAGTGATCATTATAATGTGCAGGAGCGATAGTGAGCTGCCACCTGCATGATACATCAGCACAGCCACAATACACTCTCCCACAACACATGGACATTGTACACATGTCTGAGACCTGTGTCCTACATCTGACAACTACATCTGGGACAATAAGCCTGTGTCAGGAAATATCTGCCTATGTCTGAGACATACATCCTATGGCTAAGAACTGTGTTGTATGTCTGAGAGCTATGTCCGGGAAAATAAGCCTACGTGCGGGAATATCTGGCTATGCCTGGGAACTATGTCTGAGACCTACGTCCTATGTCTGAGAACTACGTCCGGGAAAATAAGGCTATGTGTGGGAATATCTGCCTATGCCTGGGAACTATGTCCGGGAAAATAAGGCTATGTGCGGGAATATCATCCTATGCCTGGGAACTATGTCTGAGACCTACGTCCTATGTCTGAGAACTACGTCCGGGAAAATAAGGCTATGTGCGGGAATATCTGCCTACGTCCGGGAATATCATCCTATGCCTGGGAATATTTGCCTATGTCTGGGTCCTATGTCTGAGACCTACGTCCTACGTCTGAAAAAATAAGCCTCTGTCAGGCAATATCTGCCTATGTCTGAGAACTATGTCCTAGGGGAATTCATTCATTCCAAGTCATCAGTTGATCACTGAAAGCCCTCACTTATTTATACACAAGAAATTATGAAGACATTGAGATGGAAAAATAGTCGGTCAACCGATTTCTGAGTGATCATTATGTTGAGGTGCAACAACAGTCATTCAATTGCTGTATATTCCAAATCATTGTTTGTCCATTGTATTCACAGAACCATGTGAGACACCAAAACAGTTGATTGATCGATTATTTCTGAGTGATCATTATGATGTGCAGGAGCGATAGTGAGCTGCCACCTGCATGATACATCAGCACAGCCATGATACACTCTTCCACGACGCATAATACATCAGTATCCTACCCAAGGATAATCTGTTAGGACACCATACACTGTACACTGTACACCAAGCATAGTGCACTGTGCACCGAGCATAGTACACTATACACTGCACTGCCACTGTACACTCTCCCGCGATATGCATAATACACTGTGCACTATACCCTGAGCATAGTGCACTGTACACCGAGCATAGTACACTGGACACTATACACTATACCTATACACCGAGCATAGTTCACTGTTGAATGAGCATAGTGCACTGTACACCGAACATAGTACACTGTACACCAAGCATAGTGCACCGAGCATAGTGCACTGTACACCGAGCATAGTGCACCATACACCAAGTATAGTGCACCGAGCATAATACACCGGACACTGTACACCGAGCATAGTGCACTGTACACCGAACATAGTACACTGTACACCGAGCATAGTGCACCGAGCATAGTACACCGGACACTGTACACCGAGCATAGTGCACTGTACACCAAGCATAGTGCACCGAGCATAATACACCGAGCATAGTGCACTGTACACCGAACATAGTGCACCGAGCATAATACACCGGACACTGTACACCGAGCATAGTGCACTGTACACCGAACATAGTACACTGTACACCGAGCATAGTGCACCGAGCATAGTACACCGGACACTGTACACCGAGCATAGTGCACTGTACACCAAGCATAGTGCACCGAGCATAATACACCATACACTGTACACCGAGCATAGTGCACTGTACACCGAACATAGTACACTGTACACCGAGCATAGTGCACCATACACCGAGTATAGTGCACCAAGCATAATACACCGGACACTGTACACCGAGCATAGTGCACTGTACACTGGACACTATGTCTGGGAACTATGTCCGGGAAAATAAGCCTATGTCCGGGAATATCTAGCTATGCCTGGGAATATCTAGCTATGCCTGGGAATATCATCCTATGCCTGGGAACTGTGTCCGGGAATATCTAGCATAGTACACCAGACACTGTACACTGTACACTATGTCTGAAAAATAAGCTGACGTCAGGCAATATCTGCCCCAGACACTGTACACTGTACACTGCACTGCCACCGTACACTCTCCCACGATATGCATAATACACCATGCACTCTCGGTACTCCAGGGTGGGGTACCACGTTAAGACTATTAGAGTGTAGATCTCTTTCGGTTCCTCCGCGCCATACAGGCCGCTGACAGTGGACATCTTTGATGAGAACACCTCGTCCAGGGCCTTCATCATGGGGCCTTCGAGTAAGTCTTTCAGCGGCGCGTTGCCCTTTTCGAGTGACTTGGGCAAGTATTCTTCCCGCAATGCCTTGAGAACTATTCGAAGCTCCTTCCTGTTCTTGGGGTCCATGATCTGGACCTTCTTTTGAAGGTATTTGAGGGTGGCCTCTTCCACAGTTGGAAAGACAACGGGCGAGACAAGGAACTCCAGGAGGTCCAGCATAGGCCTGAATGTCGCGATGAAGAACTGGCTTCTTTGTTAGCGCACGCGCATGCTGATGTTGGTTGGTGTGCTCACCTGCGTCATGTATGGGTACCAATTGCTGTACAGCAATGATATGTTGATCAGCGGTGATGATTCGAAATCCGCATGTGCGTATAGGTCCTTCAGGAAGTCGAACAGATTTTGGTCGCTGACCGCCCACGCCGTGCGCGAGCTGTTCGAATCTTTGGACTTAACCCACTGCGCTGTGGCATCTGCAACGAGCTGATTCGTCTTCTCCGATGCCTCTCCGCTCGCAAGCCGAAGGACGTTCTTCAGTTTGTCCGTGTCAGTATCATCCTTGGAGGGCAGTGTCTGGTTTGCAATGAGCTCGTGCAAGAGCAGGGACGAGTTTTGGGCAGCCATGAGCATGTCTGTGGTGGAAATATTTAGCATACGCGTATGATAATATCCCCGACCAACTCACCAAAGTCAAAGAACCGAGCGACCCACACTGCGTCAGCATCTAAAATATCTACCATCTCCGATGACTTCGCCATTGCCTCTGCCGCAGCACAGGAACCATAGTCGTTGTCGTACGCCGCCTTCTGCGCCTGATAATAGTTGTGCCACTCTTGGGCGTAATAGTTCTCCATGTAGGTCCACCTGTGATTGCCGTTGAAAAGAAGCATCTCATTACCAGGGTCAGCTGCTTCATGAGCCCATTTGACATGGTTCGTGTACGGTCCTGGCTGCAAAGGTTGGAGGGATTCCACTTTGATGTGCTCCACCTTGACGCCAATGAAAATGGCGTTATCTGGGAGGCAGTTCAGGAGCCCAGTCGACTCGTGGCTGTACTTCATCTTGTTCATTGTCTGTTTGTTTATGGGACGACAGTTGTAACGCTGCCGAACTATCTGCGGTCCTCTGCCAAAGTCGTTGTTGGTGCCTCCGATGTGTATCAAGCCATACCCTAATTCTGCCTCTGCCAGATCTTGCAGGATCTGGATTGTGTGGAGATGGCGTTGCCCCTCCTCCTCTTCCTCCTGGAATCTGGTCAGCACGTGCGTATTCATGAATGATGCAACAATCATTCACCTTCTCTGCTACGATCACACCAGCAACCTAAAAAATAAGCCGTCAGTCGTATGCTATTGTGCACGTTGCAATTTTTCCACCAACCATTGCTGCCTTTCTCGCCCCCTTGCCTTTCTTGCTCTTTGTGATCGGCATCTCGTCCTGGACACAAGGTTTGATCAAAATCAGAACTGGTGCATGCGTATGCTGACTGACCTCCTCCATATCATTCTCACTGAGAGAATCTTCATCAGACTCTTCATCAGACTCTTCGTCAGACTCTTGGATAATCTGGGTCCTCTTCTGAAAGAATCAAACACTGTCAGTTTGCTAGCATTATTAGCGTACACGTATGCTAAATACCTGGCTGGCAGAAGACGAGATCTGCAAGATCTGTGAGCATTGAGAGGACGCCAGCACTAGACATGCGCTAAATACCTTTGCTTTCACAGGCGTCATTGCCTGAGAAGGGGTCTTGGGAGAAATCTAATGATCATTGTCAGAAACACAGAGCGAGGATTTTAGCGTACACGTATGCTAAATACCTGGCTGGCAGAAGACGAGATCTGCAAGATCTGTGAGCATTGAGAGGACGCCAGCACTAGACATGCGCTAAATACCTTTGCTTTCACAGGCGTCATTGCCTGAGCAGGGGTCTTGGGAGAAATCTAAGGATCATTGTCAGAAACACAGAGCGAGGATTTTAGCGTACACGTATGCTAAATACCTGGCTGGCAGAAGACGAGATCTGCAAGATCTGTGAGCATTGAGAGGACGCCAGCACTAGACATGCGCTAAATACCTTTGCTTTCACAGGCGTCATTGCCTGAGCAGGGGTCTTGGGAGAAATCTAAGGATCATTGTCAGAAACACAGAGCGAGGATTTTAGCGTACACGTATGCTAAATACCTGGCTGGCAGAAGACGAGATCTGCAAGATCTGTGAGCATTGAGAGGACGCCAGCATTACACATGCACTAAATACCTTAGGCGTCTTTTGATAAATATGAAGATAATCGTCAGAAACACAAAACGAGGATTTTAGCATACGTGTATGTTAATTACCTTGCTTGTTGACGCTGGAGTCTGTGAGATAGAAGTTTGCTGTCAGCATACAGAGGATTTTAGCATACATGTACGCTAAATACCTTTTTAATCTTTGGTAGAGATGAAATCTAAAGATAATTGTCAGAAACACAAAATGAGGATTTTAGCATACATGTATGTTAAATACCTTTGATTTTGTCTTTGAAAAATTCAAACAAATGAATATTTAATTGTATTTAAATATTAATTTCTCACTTTATTTGGGGCTTGTTTGTTCCATGTTAACAGAGATGATGGTGGTTGAAGTTCAAGAAAGAGTATTACCCAAATTGGGATTTGTTTGTATATATCCTTTAGGAGATAAACATGCACAAACAAAGACCGATGCGGACATGACCACATTGGGCGATTACATAATACACACTACTTGGTGCTTGATAAGCTTCTGGTGCGAGGGACCGTGCAGTATTGATATTAGCGTACGTGTATGCTGAGTGCGGCTCGGGTCGATGCGGGCGGTCGTTGGATGTTCGTCGGTCAATGCGATTATGATACGTGTGCGCTAAAATGTACCATACGCATACGATAAATGAACTAGCAGAACATTGCGAATTCCTCGCCTTTTCCCAATCAAATTTTCGTTGAATTCAATGCCGATCGAGACGGCAACTTTGTGCTGAAACCTTCATCACAAAACATGTTTCTAGTGTATGCGGCGGCTGTTCTACACTTCTCTCTTGTGTACTTCCACGTACCACAGCAGCAGATCCATCCCCTTGCTGTGGTGTCCTGATGCTGGCGCCTTCATCAACCATTTTGTGAAAGCCTCCAAGGTCGCCCACTCGACTCCAAAGTACTCCTCCGCCGCCTCCTTCAGATCTTTGTACTTGTAGATCACCAGGGCTAGTGGCACTACAATGTCTGGCCAGTCCGCACTGGTTGTCTCTCGAACCCCTTCACGAGAGGCACGTGCAGTTCGTCTCTGCACGTGGGCACGTGGCATATCCAGCAGATGCCCTTGTGGTTGTTGTATCTGATCTCCTTCTTCCATTCAAAGTACTGCCCCAGAGTGCTATCTATGGATGTCCATGATGGACACTGGCTCATCCGGTGGTCTTCCAACTCGCCATTGTCGCTCGCATAGCATAGAGTGCATCCTTTGTCCTTCATCGTGTCCAACGCTTTTCTCATCCGGTCCACTTGGCTCATCTCCGCCGCTTGCTTCGTCGTCTTCAGCTTTTTAGAACGTGTGGCAGCCTCCGCAAAGGGATCTGCTGCGCCAGACATGTCATTGAACACCCTTTTGTTGAGCGAGACTTTTCGTCCGTGACTGGGAGAGGCGCCGATCAGCATACGCGTGCGCTGTTGCAAGGGCGGTATGTTTGTGGAGACGGCGCGTCTGTGGAGCGGGGATGTTGGGAGCATGCGCACATGCTGTTGAGTGGCCGCCTTTGCTTGAACCGGCTCCTTGGCGTCGTTCTTGCAGACACAACACAGCTGGTTTCTCCGATCGGCCCCGCACTTGGTTCCCTCTCCATCTATGTAGAGGGTCGATCCGTAGCGAAGGCAGCGCTTCAGACCGTGGCTGTAGATGTGGTCGTGGGCATACCATAGACCCTTGTGATCTGTCTCTGATCGTCCGATGATGATCTTGGGAGGTGATGTCGATGGAAGCATGTAGCATCTGGCGGGATTTCCGTCCCTTCCGCCTCGCCCTTGAGCTTGGATGATCTCAGACATCTCCAGTGGGGTCTTCAGGTGGATGACCAGTCGGACGTGAGGATAATCGTTGCCTGTGCTGAAGGCGCTCGTGCAGATCATCACCGGACTCTTGCCAGAGCGCCAATCCTTGTAGTATTGCGCTCTGGAGGCGTCGCTCACGTCCTTTGATCCATTGTAGAATGGCCAGCGCGTCTGTGGGCGATCGGTGGTCAGCGAACTGGTGCACGGTGATTTGTGGATCACTCGCCATCTCGGACAGAGTGTCGCCGTCTTCTATGTATGTGACAAATATCAAGCCTCTGTCCTTTGCGGTCCATTGCGCCTGCTCTTGGTTGACTATTTGAACGACTTTTGTGTCCAGGGTGCTGGACTGAGCTGGTGGCCTCATGATGTACTCCAGCTCTGGACGGTTGCTGGACTCTCTTATCCTCGATGGCTGTGGGCAAGAGCCCAAACATCGCTTTGAGGGAGGCGAGGCTTGAAGGAGGTATCGTGCCGCTCAGAAGTACGAGCTGCATGGGGAAACTGTCTGAGCTCGTGCACATCCTGCATGGACACTCTGAAATCTTCTGACAGCAGAGGGCAGGTGAGCTTCATCGAATACCAGCCTGCTGACCGGCAGGATCTCGTTGAACTCAGCCAGGCATTTGTCTCCATGTCTTGACCCTGGCCTTGTCTGCCGACACAGGATCAGATTGATGCTGGTGGACAAGGGACGGCTGGTGGTCGTAGACTTGGAAGGAGAACTCCCATGACTTTGAGCTTTCTCTCCCAGTCGATCATCAAGGACTTTAGAGGAAGGACCACCACCACCGCCCTGTCTGCCTCCATTATGGCCGGAAGGAGGGCCAGCATCGACTTTCCCCCGCCCGTCTTGAGCAGTGGCAATGACGTCGGTCTCTCGCTTCAGTGTGGCCATGACCTGCCTCCCTTTTGCTCTGTAGATGTCCATTGAGCATTGTCCTTGTTGATAACGACTTGCAACGCGGACAGGCATTTGCGTTCGATGTTGCGTTCCTTGTCCTTCAGAGCCAGCTGATTCGCGGGTGGCGCCGATGCTCCATAGTCATCTGACGCCGTTCAGCATGCGCGCAGACCAATCGCAGGCCGCTCACCGCTGACAATCTCCACCTCTTTCAACTTCTGACCGATCACATCGTCTTCTGCAGATCTGTATCAGCACATGCATGCCCTGAGATAGATGGCTCGACCCACCGCTCGTCGTGTCGATCATATTGGACTCGTTGCTGGTCGTCGGGTAATCTGTGTGATTCCATCAGGCAATGGGCATGCATTGATGGTGCGATGCTAACCACTCGAAGTCGTTTGCCCGTCCGCATCGCTCTCATCCCACTCCTTGTTGGAAGCTCGATTGTCCCGTCCAATTCTTATGAATGGGTGACTTGCGACTTGTGGCTTTGGCTGCTGCAGCGGTCGTTTAGCATACGCGTATGCTAATCTGAGGGGTCGCATGGCTCACCTGCAGCTTTTGGAGTGTTGTTCAAGTCTTCCTTGGGTCCTGGACTGTCGACCGACCCGTAGATATCGTCGAAGTGATGTCGTTGGTAGGAACTCCGACCAGTTGCTGTGGAATCGCTGTCTTCATGGCTTCCATTACAATTCTTTCCAGTACTGGCGTGAGAGCATCCACCACCCTCGTCACCAATCTCTGCTCGATGCCAGCCATCATCTTCTCTTCTAGCTTGCCTGCGATGCGGTTGGCCAATGTGTCCGTCGACAAATGGATCTCTGCCGTGACTTTGGGAGCATCAATGAGGGGAGGCCTCACATGACTTGGTGCCTCGATCTCTTCATAGTCTGATCCAAACCTTCCGGAGTCTGCTAGCTGTTTGAAGTGGTGGGTCCTGGCATCGGTGTATGCCAGTTCCAGACCGCCTGGGACTGTGTGCATGAGCAACTGCCAGTTGGTGCTAGCTTGAAGGAATTGAGGCAGCAGGTCCTCGGCCCCTGCTGCCAGTGTATCTGGACTGAGACCATATATTCGGTTCTCTGTCGTCCTGCTGTGGCCGGCTTGAAGTGCCTCTATCGTGTCTTGATCGTCTTCCTCCAACAGCTCCTCTGCAAATCTACCGAGTTTGCGTTGAAGGCGGTGCTGATGTGACGCCAAGAGTTGATTCCCAGACCGAAGCCAATGTTAGATACACTTTCCCTGGCCATGGTGGCAGACAGCTGTTCGCTGGTGAATAGCTTGTGGTCGTTCATGAAGATGTGCTTCTGATACGACTCTTTGATCCATGGCTTGTCTGGGTAGCAGATGTGGGCGGCTACTTCAGCAAAGGGCCTGGTCAGGGCGAGGTCTTGGATCATGATGTCGGCCGTGACACCATCTATCGAGTGAGGGATGAGCTTGTCGGTCCCAGACAATGCGCTTCCTTTGTGATATGTCCTGAGCATGGTGAGGTTCTTTCCCAGAATGACCAGGTTGCGCTGCGACCGAGTCTGTCCATTGCATTAGTGCGCGTGCATCATTGATTCAATCATGATTCTTGCCTTTGTGTTCCTGTAGGTCATGGACGTGAGTTCAGTCCCTCGACCCGGTGCTTCCGCTCAGCATCTCGCATCTGGCCAGGACCAGCTTCTGAAACTCTGCATAGTCTCTCAACCACCGCAGCAGAGCGCCCTTATTCCACACCAGCTGTCCTTGACGTACTACGGCAAACTGGCTGAAGACCTCTGGATTATCGATGAGGGCCTTGAGGAAGCGATCACGGTCTGCAAAGCAGGTGTTCCTGCGGTCGGACAAGAAGCAGTAGCCCACATCGTAGTTGTTGCTATCATCCACGAGATTCTTGTAGTGGACGTAGACCCTGATTCCGACCAACACCTTGTTTTCCCAGAGATCCACCAGTTTCATCTCCAAGGAAGCGAACATCTCTCTGAGCTGGTTGATGTGCACCTTATCGCCTCTGTACAGCATCTCCATCCATCTCTTGCGGTCCACCCACCACACGCGAGGCAGACTTGTGGTCTTGTATGCGATGCTCGATGCTCGATGCTGAAGCGATCGCAAGCCACTGAAAGGCGAGTTTGTTTTATCGGTGAACCATGGCTGGAGTGCGTCGCATGCTGCTTCGTCGTTGCCATCATATAGCTTGGTGCTGAGAATTTTCAATTGCTTCAGACACGCAAGCCGCATGCAGTACTCTAGTCTGGCCAAGATGGGAGTGATGAGCACTGGCTCCCTGTGTCGTCCATCGGCCTCCAGAGTGTGCAAAGCCAGGAATCGCTCTGTGGGACAAGGGATCGTGTTGTCCTTCTCCTTGACCCACTTGGTCATCCAGATCATGGTGAGGACCGCATGTATCTTTTCTGTCGTCTCCTCCTTCTCTGTCAGTGCCAGTTCCAATTCTTGCAGGGCTTGCATGAGGTGTTGCGGGATCGGAATCTCATAGTCGTCCCCTCTGTCCGTCCTCAGCAGCATGGCTAGCAGACCGATGGTCGAGCGCACATATGACTTCATGGTCCCAGCTTCTTGATGGCGGTGAAGAGGCGAGTTGTTGATTCCACTGTGGATGGGTGAATTTAGCGTACGCGTATGATAAACTAGTGACTCGCTCTTTCAATGGATCAGGAGAGTTGAGACGCTGCAAGACCAACTCTTCTGTGGTATCCAACAAAACCAAGGCACTTTCAAAATATAGCTCCACCGCATGCGCGAGGTCGGGCATGATGGCCTCGTCTGCCTTTGGTATCTCTACCAGCTTCCTTAGGGTCGCGACTTCATGACCGGCTACATGTTCGTGCCACCTGGTGGTCAACAGCCAAGGGCTCACCAACCGCTTCTCTTGCGGCACTTGCTCCACTCTAGTCACCTCTTCCATCTCTTTTCTCATCTTGTCTATTGCATCCTGATGATCGCAAGATGTCTCCTGGCCTCCGGCCACTCTCCAATATTTCTTGTGCACCCCCCTGTCGAGCTGCTGTACCATGCAAGGAGTCCATTGCTTGGGCAGTGGGATGGACTGGTGCTTTTCTCGATGATGATCGCCCATAGTCACTCGTGATCCACCTGCATAGGAGCAAAGATCGCAAGCAAAGCCGTTGTGTGTCTTTAGGCCCTTGTATGCACTGACACCTCTGCCTCCTGCTATAGAGGTCGGAAGAGCTGTGGCTATATCAATGTCTGCTACTGCTTGACAGAATCGATCGTCATGCAATTTGATTGCTGGATGGACATTTCTCATGTGGCCAGAGACATGACCAGGAGCCAGTGCGACTTGACAGATGTGACAGCATAAGATCCGCAGGTCTGGATTTACGACAATATTGATAGTATCCAGATATGGGTGGTGAAGCAGTCCATCCTATGATCCAGTCAATTATCATACGCGTATGATAGTTATTGTTCTTACTTGACTTTCTTGGCTAATAGCTCGAGTTGCTATTTCACTTGCTTGAGGCTGGGATGAGTATTAGTCGATCATTATCATATGCGTATGGTGGTTGTGGCACTCGCTTGAGACATTGTGTTGCTCGTCTGATGATGTCATAGGTGTCAGCCGATTATGACTGTATATGATAATCATGGTTCTTACTTGATCATCTTGCAGGTCTATGGATGATTCTGTGCGTGATGCTTTGCTGATGGACTCGTTCTTGTGCTGATGAACTATTGCACACATGCACTAATTAAAGGACTCACAATGTCAATCTCCTGATCCATGCTAATTGTACGACTGATATGAAGAGGCTATCAGTGGAGGTGAATTAGTGTACACATATACTGATGCATAGCTATACCTGTGTTTCCTCCATGTGTACCTCGATGGGATCATCTCTTTCACGCATAGAGACCGAGTGTTGCTGCTGATGAACTCTTTGTGTATTCTGTGTATCATAGTCAGTAGGTAATTTAGCATACACGTTCACTAATATCTTGACTTGCCTGAATGGACGTAGGTTCACTCGATTGGACAGATGATTGATCTTCTTGCTCATTCTGTATATTGTGGTTGGTGGGGAATTTAGCATACATGTACGCTAATATCTTGGCTTGCCTCTAGAAATGTATCTCCTTGTTGATTCTGTGTTTTATGGTCAGTGGGGAATTTAGTGTACATGTATGCTAATTACCTTGCCAACCCAATGTGATTTTGTACTTTTCAGGTGCCTCTTCATAACCTCCAATGTCTTGTAGGCTTTTCCTCCAGCTGCACACCCATGATCAGAACAATAGCAGTTGAATTTACCATCTGCATTTTTATAGACAGTAATCTCTTGACTGTTGTATGTGAAAGTCTCAATGCCTTTCAAGCACTTCTTGCTGTGCTTACTACAGTCATTTCTGTTGTTGAACTGAGCAGAGCAGTTGGGACAAGTGTGCATGATGAGCTGTTGAGTGGATGTGAGAGATGAGACTTGATGAGATGGTGAGAATAGAACAAGAAGCTTATTATGATACTGTACAGTTCTGTTCCCACATTGATATCCATCTGAACCTTATCTACATATAGATATATTTGCCAAATTAGGAATAAGGCACATGGATGTGCATATTCCCACATAAAATGGCATTTATCATACACGTATACTAATAACAATAACTTCGTTGTTGTCACTTACTGTCGCGCATGGCCCTATATAATTGTCGCGCAGTCGCGTATGGTCAGACATAATTGTCGCGCATGCCCCTATATAATTGTCGCGCAGTCGCGTATAGTCAGACATAATTGTCGCGCAGTCGCGTATGGTCAGACATAATTGTCGCGCATGCCCCTATATAATTGTCGCGCAGTCGCGTATAGTCAGACATAATTGTCGCGCAGTCGCGTATGGTCAGACATAATTGTCGCGCATGGTCAGCATAATTGTCGCGCAGTCGCGTATAGTCAGACATAATTGTCGCGCATGCCCCTATATAATTGTCGCGCAGTCGCGTATGGTCAGACATAATTGTCGCGCATGGTCAGCATAATTGTCGCGCAGTCGCGTATAGTCAGACATAATTGTCGCGCATGCCCCTATATAATTGTCGCGCAGTCGCGTATGGTCAGACATAATTGTCGCGCATGGTCAGCATAATTGTCGCGCAGTCGCGCATGGTCAGACATAATTGTCGCGCAGTCGCGCATGGTCAGACATAATTGTCGTGCATGCCCCCCTATAAAATTGTCGCGCAGTCGCGTAGTCGCGCAAGTTATGGGGGTATAACTGACCGGACCTATGTTTAGGTGCTGCGGACATTTCCCTTGGTCACTGCAAACGACCCAAAGCACTCGATCCATCCAAAGATCTGTCAAAAAATTAGCATACGCGTACACTGATTCAGTCATCACTGCACTAGCCTCTTGAACCTCGTCAGCAAACATTGCCTTCTCTTCGATCTTGGGTTCGCCTGGGGGGACTCTCATGTACTTGGACATTTTCAATGCATGCCAGTTTAGCATGACAGCGGCAATCACAGACACGGTGAGGATGGGAGGACTCGTGGCCAGCTCGAGGCTGGGGTGCGAAGTCCCCTCTGCGCTTGGGTTGTACCCTAGACCGGACCACATCAGTTTTATGCCTGTGTTGACCAGAGTCCGACGCTCGATCAGTCCCTGAGGGGTGTCCTTGATGTATGGCAGCAGTTCGTTGTCAACGACCTTCTTTATGGCGGCCCTGAGCTCATAGTAATAAGCCTGCGATCCCAAATAATGAGTGTAGATCTCTTTCGGTTCCTCCGCGCCATACAGGCTGCTGACAGTGGACATCTTTGATGAGAACACCTCGTCCAGGGCCTTCATCATGGGGCCTTCGAGTAAGTCTTTCAGCGGCGCGTTGCCCTTTTCGAGTGACTTGGGCAAGTATTCTTCCCGCAATGCCTTGAGAACTATTCGAAGCTCCTTCCTGTTCTTGGGGTCCATGATCTGGACCTTCTTTTGAAGGTATTTGAGGGTGGCCTCTTCCACAGTTGGAAAGACAACGGGCGAGACAAGGAACTCCAGGAGGTCCAGCATAGGCCTGAATGTCGCGATGAAGAACTGGCTTCTTTGTTAGCGCACGCGCATGCTGATGTTGGTTGGTGTGCTCACCTGCGTCATGTATGGGTACCAATTGCTGTACAGCAATGATATGTTGATCAGCGGTGATGATTCGAAATCCGCATGTGCGTATAGGTCCTTCAGGAAGTCGAACAGATTTTGGTCGCTGACCGCCCACGCCGTGCGCGAGCTGTTCGAATCTTTGGACTTAACCCACTGCGCTGTGGCATCTGCAACGAGCTGATTCGTCTTCTCCGATGCCTCTCCGCTCGCAAGCCGAAGGACGTTCTTCAGTTTGTCCGTGTCAGTATCATCCTTGGAGGGCAGTGTCTGGTTTGCAATGAGCTCGTGCAAGAGCAGGGACGAGTTTTGGGCAGCCATGAGCATGTCTGTGGTGGAAATATTTAGCATACGCGTATGATAATATCCCCGACCAACTCACCAAAGTCAAAGAACCGAGCGACCCACACTGCGTCAGCATCTAAAATATCTACCATCTCCGATGACTTCGCCATTGCCTCTGCCGCAGCACAGGAACCATAGTCGTTGTCGTACGCCGCCTTCTGCGCCTGATAATAGTTGTGCCACTCTTGGGCGTAATAGTTCTCCATGTAGGTCCACCTGTGATTGCCGTTGAAAAGAAGCATCTCATTACCAGGGTCAGCTGCTTCATGAGCCCATTTGACATGGTTCGTGTACGGTCCTGGCTGCAAAGGTTGGAGGGATTCCACTTTGATGTGCTCCACCTTGACGCCAATGAAAATGGCGTTATCTGGGAGGCAGTTCAGGAGCCCAGTCGACTCGTGGCTGTACTTCATCTTGTTCATTGTCTGTTTGTTTATGGGACGACAGTTGTAACGCTGCCGAACTATCTGCGGTCCTCTGCCAAAGTCGTTGTTGGTGCCTCCGATGTGTATCAAGCCATACCCTAATTCTGCCTCTGCCAGATCTTGCAGGATCTGGATTGTGTGGAGATGGCGTTGCCCCTCCTCCTCTTCCTCCTGGAATCTGGTCAGCACGTGCGTATTCATGAATGATGCAACAATCATTCACCTTCTCTGCTACGATCACACCAGCAACCTAAAAAATAAGCCGTCAGTCGTATGCTATTGTGCACGTTGCAATTTTTCCACCAACCATTGCTGCCTTTCTCGCCCCCTTGCCTTTCTTGCTCTTTGTGATCGGCATCTCGTCCTGGACACAAGGTTTGATCAAAATCAGAACTGGTGCATGCGTATGCTGACTGACCTCCTCCATATCATTCTCACTGAGAGAATCTTCATCAGACTCTTCATCAGACTCTTCGTCAGACTCTTGGATAATCTGGGTCCTCTTCTGAAAGAATCAAACACTGTCAGTTTGCTAGCATTATTAGCGTACACGTATGCTAAATACCTGGCTGGCAGAAGACGAGATCTGCAAGATCTGTGAGCATTGAGAGGACGCCAGCACTAGACATGCGCTAAATACCTTTGCTTTCACAGGCGTCATTGCCTGAGAAGGGGTCTTGGGAGAAATCTAATGATCATTGTCAGAAACACAGAGCGAGGATTTTAGCGTACACGTATGCTAAATACCTGGCTGGCAGAAGACGAGATCTGCAAGATCTGTGAGCATTGAGAGGACGCCAGCACTAGACATGCGCTAAATACCTTTGCTTTCACAGGCGTCATTGCCTGAGAAGGGGTCTTGGGAGAAATCTAATGATCATTGTCAGAAACACAGAGCGAGGATTTTAGCGTACACGTATGCTAAATACCTGGCTGGCAGAAGACGAGATCTGCAAGATCTGTGAGCATTGAGAGGACGCCAGCACTAGACATGCGCTAAATACCTTTGCTTTCACAGGCGTCATTGCCTGAGAAGGGGTCTTGGGAGAAATCTAATGATCATTGTCAGAAACACAGAGCGAGGATTTTAGCGTACACGTATGCTAAATACCTGGCTAGGAGAAGAGAGTATCTGCAAGATCTGTGAGCATTGAGAGGACGCCAGCATTACACATGCACTAAATACCTTAGGCGTCTTTTGATAAATATGAAGATAATCGTCAGAAACACAAAACGAGGATTTTAGCATACGTGTATGTTAATTACCTTGCTTGTTGACGCTGGAGTCTGTGAGATAGAAGTTTGCTGTCAGCATACAGAGGATTTTAGCATACATGTACGCTAAATACCTTTTTAATCTTTGGTAGAGATGAAATCTAAAGATAATTGTCAGAAACACAAAATGAGGATTTTAGCATACATGTATGTTAAATACCTTTGATTTTGTCTTTGAAAAATTCAAACAAATGAATATTTAATTGTATTTAAATATTAATTTCTCACTTTATTTGGGCTTGTTTGTTCCATGTTAACAGAGATGATGGTGGTTGAAGTTCAAGAAAGAGTATTACCCAAATTGGGATTTGTTTGTATATATCCTTTAGGAGATAAACATGCACAAACAAAGACCGATGCGGACATGACCACATTGGGCGATTACATAATACACACTACTTGGTGCTTGATAAGCTTCTGGTGCGAGGGACCGTGCAGTATTGATATTAGCGTACGTGTATGCTGAGTGCGCTCGGGTCGATGCGGGCGGTCGTTGGATGTTCGTCGGTCAATGCGATTATGATACGTGTGCGCTAAAATGTACCATACGCATACGATAAATGAACTAGCAGAACATTGCGAATTCCTCGCCTTTTCCCAATCAAATTTTTCGTTGAATTCAATGCCGATCGAGACGGCAACTTTGTGCTGAAACCTTCATCACAAAACATGTTTCTAGTGTATGCGGCGGCTGTTCTACACTTCTCTCTTGTGTACTTCCACGTACCACAGCAGCAGATCCATCCCCTTGCTGTGGTGTCCTGATGCTGGCGCCTTCATCAACCATTTTGTGAAAGCCTCCAAGGTCGCCCACTCGACTCCAAAGTACTCCTCCGCCGCCTCCTTCAGATCTTTGTACTTGTAGATCACCAGGGCTAGTGGCACTACAATGTCTGGCCAGTCGCACTGGTTGTCTCTCGACCCCTTCACGAGAGGCACGTGCAGTTCGTCTCTGCACGTGGGCACGTGGCATATCCAGCAGATGCCCTTGTGGTTGTTGTATCTGATCTCCTTCTTCCATTCAAAGTACTGCCCCAGAGTGCTATCTATGGATGTCCATGATGGACACTGGCTCATCCGGTGGTCTTCCAACTCGCCATTGTCGCTCGCATAGCATAGAGTGCATCCTTTGTCCTTCATCGTGTCCAACGCTTTTCTCATCCGGTCCACTTGGCTCATCTCCGCCGCTTGCTTCGTCGTCTTCAGCTTTTTAGAACGTGTGGCAGCCTCCGCAAAGGGATCTGCTGCGCCAGACATGTCATTGAACACCCTTTTGTTGAGCGAGACTTTTCGTCCGTGACTGGGAGAGGCGCCGATCAGCATACGCGTGCGCTGTTGCAAGGGCGGTATGTTTGTGGAGACGGCGCGTCTGTGGAGCGGGGATGTTGGGAGCATGCGCACATGCTGTTGAGTGGCCGCCTTTGCTTGAACCGGCTCCTTGGCGTCGTTCTTGCAGACACAACACAGCTGGTTTCTCCGATCGGCCCCGCACTTGGTTCCCTCTCCATCTATGTAGAGGGTCGATCCGTAGCGAAGGCAGCGCTTCAGACCGTGGCTGTAGATGTGGTCGTGGGCATACCATAGACCCTTGTGATCTGTCTCTGATCGTCCGATGATGATCTTGGGAGGTGATGTCGATGGAAGCATGTAGCATCTGGCGGGATTTCCGTCCCTTCCGCCTCGCCCTTGAGCTTGGATGATCTCAGACATCTCCAGTGGGGTCTTCAGGTGGATGACCAGTCGGACGTGAGGATAATCGTTGCCTGTGCTGAAGGCGCTCGTGCAGATCATCACCGGACTCTTGCCAGAGCGCCAATCCTTGTAGTATTGCGCTCTGGAGGCGTCGCTCACGTCCTTTGATCCATTGTAGAATGGCCAGCGCGTCTGTGGGCGATCGGTGGTCAGCGAACTGGTGCACGGTGATTTGTGGATCACTCGCCATCTCGGACAGAGTGTCGCCGTCTTCTATGTATGTGACAAATATCAAGCCTCTGTCCTTTGCGGTCCATTGCGCCTGCTCTTGGTTGACTATTTGAACGACTTTTGTGTCCAGGGTGCTGGACTGAGCTGGTGGCCTCATGATGTACTCCAGCTCTGGACGGTTGCTGGACTCTCTTATCTCGATGGCTGTGGGCAAGAGCCCAAACATCGCTTTGAGGGAGGCGAGGCTTGAAGGAGGTATCGTGCCGCTCAGAAGTACGAGCTGCATGGGGAACTGTCTGAGCTCGTGCACATCCTGCATGGACACTCTGAAATCTTCTGACAGCAGAGGCAGGTGAGCTTCATCGAATACCAGCCTGCTGACCGGCAGGATCTCGTTGAACTCAGCCAGGCATTGTCTCCATGTCTTGAACCTGGCCTTGTCTGCCGACACCAGGATCAGATTGATGCTGGTGGACAAGGGACGGCTGTGGTCGTAGACTTGGAAGGGAACTCCCATGACTTTGAGCTTTCTCTCCCAGTCGATCATCAAGGACTTTAGAGGAAGGACCACCACCACCGCCCTGTCTGCCTCCATTATGGCCGGAAGGATGGCCAGCATCGACTTTCCCCCGCCCGTCTTGAGCATGGCAATGACGTCGGTCTCTCGCTTCAGTGTGGCCATGACTGCCTCCCTTTGCTCTGTAGATGTCCATTGAGCATTGTCCTTGTTGATAACGACTTGCAACGCGGACAGGCATTTGCGTTCGATGTTGCGTTCCTTGTCCTTCAGAGCCAGCTGATTCGCGGGTGGCGCCGATGCTCCATAGTCATCTGACGCCGTTCAGCATGCGCGCAGACCAATCGCAGGCCGCTCACCGCTGACAATCTCCACCTCTTTCAACTTCTGACCGATCACATCGTCTTCTGCAGATCTGTATCAGCACATGCATGCCCTGAGATAGATGGCTCGACCCACCGCTCGTCGTGTCGATCATATTGGACTCGTTGCTGGTCGTCGGGTAATCTGTGTGATTCCATCAGCATGGGCATGCATTGATGGTGCGATGCTAACCACTCGAAGTCGTTTGCCCGTCCGCATCGCTCTCATCCCACTCCTTGTTGGAAGCTCGATGTCCCGTCCAATTCTTATGAATGGGTGACTTGCGACTTGTGGCTTTGGCTGCTGCAGCGGTCGTTTAGCATACGCGTATGCTAATCTGAGTGGGTCGCATGGCTCACCTGCAGCTTTTGGAGTGTTGTTCAAGTCTTCCTTGGGTCCTGGACTGTCGACCGACCCGTAGATATCGTCGAAGTTGATGTCGTTGGTAGGAACTCCGACCAGTTGCTGTGGAATCGCTGTCTTCATGGCTTCCATTACAATTCTTTCCAGTACTGGCGTGAGAGCATCCACCACCCTCGTCACCAATCTCTGCTCGATGCCAGCCATCATCTTCTCTTCTAGCTTGCCTGCGATGCGGTTGGCCAATGTGTCCGTCGACAAATGGATCTCTGCCGTGACTTTGGGAGCATCAATGAGGGGAGGCCTCACATGACTTGGTGCCTCGATCTCTTCATAGTCTGATCCAAACCTTCCGGAGTCTGCTAGCTGTTTGAAGTGGTGGGTCCTGGCATCGGTGTATGCCAGTTCCAGACCGCCTGGGACTGTGTGCATGAGCAACTGCCAGTTGGTGCTAGCTTGAAGGAATTGAGGCAGCAGGTCCTCGGCCCCTGCTGCCAGTGTATCTGGACTGAGACCATATATTCGGTTCTCTGTCGTCCTGCTGTGGCCGGCTTGAAGTGCCTCTATCGTGTCTTGATCGTCTTCCTCCAACAGCTCCTCTGCAAATCTACCGAGTTTGCGTTTGAAGGCGGTGCTGATGTGACGCCAAGAGTTGATTCCCAGACCGAAGCCAATGTTAGATACACTTTCCCTGGCCATGGTGGCAGACAGCTGTTCGCTGGTGAATAGCTTGTGGTCGTTCATGAAGATGTGCTTCTGATACGACTCTTTGATCCATGGCTTGTCTGGGTAGCAGATGTGGGCGGCTACTTCAGCAAAGGGCCTGGTCAGGGCGAGGTCTTGGATCATGATGTCGGCCGTGACACCATCTATCGAGTGAGGGATGAGCTTGTCGGTCCCAGACAATGCGCTTCCTTTGTGATATGTCCTGAGCATGGTGAGGTTCTTTCCCAGAATGACCAGGTTGCGCTGCGACCGAGTCTGTCCATTGCATTAGTGCGCGTGCATCATTGATTCAATCATGATTCTTGCCTTTGTGTTCCTGTAGGTCATGGACGTGAGTTCAGTCCCTCGACCCGGTGCTCCGCTCAGCATCTCGCATCTGGCCAGGACCAGCTTCTGAAACTCTGCATAGTCTCTCAACCACCGCAGCAGAGCGCCCTTATTCCACACCAGCTGTCCTTGACGTACTACGGCAAACTGGCTGAAGACCTCTGGATTATCGATGAGGGCCTTGAGGAAGCGATCACGGTCTGCAAAGCAGGTGTTCCTGCGGTCGGACAAGAAGCAGTAGCCCACATCGTAGTTGTTGCTATCATCCACGAGATTCTTGTAGTGGACGTAGACCCTGATTCCGACCAACACCTTGTTTTCCCAGAGATCCACCAGTTTCATCTCCAAGGAAGCGAACATCTCTCTGAGCTGGTTGATGTGCACCTTATCGCCTCTGTACAGCATCTCCATCCATCTCTTGCGGTCCACCCACCACACGCGAGGCAGACTTGTGGTCTTGTATGCGATGCTCGATGCTCGATGCTGAAGCGATCGCAAGCCACTGAAAGGCGAGTTTGTTTTATCGGTGAACCATGGCTGGAGTGCGTCGCATGCTGCTTCGTCGTTGCCATCATATAGCTTGGTGCTGAGAATTTTCAATTGCTTCAGACACGCAAGCCGCATGCAGTACTCTAGTCTGGCCAAGATGGGAGTGATGAGCACTGGCTCCCTGTGTCGTCCATCGGCCTCCAGAGTGTGCAAAGCCAGGAATCGCTCTGTGGGACAAGGGATCGTGTTGTCCTTCTCCTTGACCCACTTGGTCATCCAGATCATGGTGAGGACCGCATGTATCTTTTCTGTCGTCTCCTCCTTCTCTGTCAGTGCCAGTTCCAATTCTTGCAGGGCTTGCATGAGGTGTTGCGGGATCGGAATCTCATAGTCGTCCCCTCTGTCCGTCCTCAGCAGCATGGCTAGCAGACCGATGGTCGAGCGCACATATGACTTCATGGTCCCAGCTTCTTGATGGCGGTGAAGAGGCGAGTTGTTGATTCCACTGTGGATGGGTGAATTTAGCGTACGCGTATGATAAACTAGTGACTCGCTCTTTCAATGGATCAGGAGAGTTGAGACGCTGCAAGACCAACTCTTCTGTGGTATCCAACAAAACCAAGGCACTTTCAAAATATAGCTCCACCGCATGCGCGAGGTCGGGCATGATGGCCTCGTCTGCCTTTGGTATCTCTACCAGCTTCCTTAGGGTCGCGACTTCATGACCGGCTACATGTTCGTGCCACCTGGTGGTCAACAGCCAAGGGCTCACCAACCGCTTCTCTTGCGGCACTTGCTCCACTCTAGTCACCTCTTCCATCTCTTTTCTCATCTTGTCTATTGCATCCTGATGATCGCAAGATGTCTCCTGGCCTCCGGCCACTCTCCAATATTTCTTGTGCACCCCCCTGTCGAGCTGCTGTACCATGCAAGGAGTCCATTGCTTGGGCAGTGGGATGGACTGGTGCTTTTCTCGATGATGATCGCCCATAGTCACTCGTGATCCACCTGCATAGGAGCAAAGATCGCAAGCAAAGCCGTTGTGTGTCTTTAGGCCCTTGTATGCACTGACACCTCTGCCTCCTGCTATAGAGGTCGGAAGAGCTGTGGCTATATCAATGTCTGCTACTGCTTGACAGAATCGATCGTCATGCAATTTGATTGCTGGATGGACATTTCTCATGTGGCCAGAGACATGACCAGGAGCCAGTGCGACTTGACAGATGTGACAGCATAAGATCCGCAGGTCTGGATTTACGACAATATTGATAGTATCCAGATATGGGTGGTGAAGCAGTCCATCCTATGATCCAGTCAATTATCATACGCGTATGATAGTTATTGTTCTTACTTGACTTTCTTGGCTAATAGCTCGAGTTGCTATTTCACTTGCTTGAGGCTGGGATGAGTATTAGTCGATCATTATCATATGCGTATGGTGGTTGTGGCACTCGCTTGAGACATTGTGTTGCTCGTCTGATGATGTCATAGGTGTCAGCCGATTATGACTGTATATGATAATCATGGTTCTTACTTGATCATCTTGCAGGTCTATGGATGATTCTGTGCGTGATGCTTTGCTGATGGACTCGTTCTTGTGCTGATGAACTATTGCACACATGCACTAATTAAAGGACTCACAATGTCAATCTCCTGATCCATGCTAATTGTACGACTGATATGAAGAGGCTATCAGTGGAGGTGAATTAGTGTACACATATACTGATGCATAGCTATACCTGTGTTTCCTCCATGTGTACCTCGATGGGATCATCTCTTTCACGCATAGAGACCGAGTGTTGCTGCTGATGAACTCTTTGTGTATTCTGTGTATCATAGTCAGTAGGTAATTTAGCATACACGTTCACTAATATCTTGACTTGCCTGAATGGACGTAGGTTCACTCGATTGGACAGATGATTGATCTTCTTGCTCATTCTGTATATTGTGGTTGGTGGGGAATTTAGCATACATGTACGCTAATATCTTGGCTTGCCTCTAGAAATGTATCTCCTTGTTGATTCTGTGTTTTATGGTCAGTGGGGAATTTAGTGTACATGTATGCTAATTACCTTGCCAACCCAATGTGATTTTGTACTTTTCAGGTGCCTCTTCATAACCTCCAATGTCTTGTAGGCTTTTCCTCCAGCTGCACACCCATGATCAGAACAATAGCAGTTGAATTTACCATCTGCATTTTTATAGACAGTAATCTCTTGACTGTTGTATGTGAAAGTCTCAATGCCTTTCAAGCACTTCTTGCTGTGCTTACTACAGTCATTTCTGTTGTTGAACTGAGCAGAGCAGTTGGGACAAGTGTGCATGATGAGCTGTTGAGTGGATGTGAGAGATGAGACTTGATGAGATGGTGAGAATAGAACAAGAAGCTTATTATGATACTGTACAGTTCTGTTCCCACATTGATATCCATCTGAACCTTATCTACATATAGATATATTTGCCAAATTAGGAATAAGGCACATGGATGTGCATATTCCCACATAAAATGGCATTTATCATACACGTATACTAATAACAATAACTTCGTTGTTGTCACTTACTGTCGCGCATGGCCCTATATAATTGTCGCGCAGTCGCGTATGGTCAGACATAATTGTCGCGCATGCCCCTATATAATTGTCGCGCAGTCGCGTATAGTCAGACATAATTGTCGCGCATGCCCCTATATAATTGTCGCGCAGTCGCGTATGGTCAGACATAATTGTCGCGCATGGTCAGCATAATTGTCGCGCAGTCGCGTATAGTCAGACATAATTGTCGCGCATGCCCCTATATAATTGTCGCGCAGTCGCGTATGGTCAGACATAATTGTCGCGCATGGTCAGCATAATTGTCGCGCAGTCGCGTATAGTCAGACATAATTGTCGCGCATGCCCCTATATAATTGTCGCGCAGTCGCGTATGGTCAGACATAATTGTCGCGCATGGTCAGCATAATTGTCGCGCAGTCGCGCATGGTCAGACATAATTGTCGCGCAGTCGCGCATGGTCAGACATAATTGTCGTGCATGCCCCCCTATAAAATTGTCGCGCAGTCGCGTAGTCGCGCAAGTTATGGGGGTATAACTGACCGGACCTATGTTTAGGTCGCCAAAGGTCGTATCATCTTTCCATGTTACATCTCACTTACAATGTCAAATCCTGCAGGCAACGACATCCGTTCGAGGCCAATCGACTTGTTGTTTTGCTGCCTCACAAATGACCCAACATACACGGAATTTGAACAGTTTGCTCAAGTCCTTAATTCACTGGCAAGCATCGTCATTCCTACACCGGACTTCGCTGGCATCTTGGGGTTGGGCAAGCGGCTGTGGTTGGGACAGGTGACCTGGAAGGATTTCGTGGATGACTTCTTGGACAACCATTTGACTGCGGGCGACATCGGAACTTCAGAGACCTCGGAACAACTGGGTAATCCGGTTATTGCCTGCCTTGTTGTTTCTGCTATTGACGTTCAATCTTTGCATCCAGACTCGCGGAACACCTTGAATACCCTGGAGGTCCGGTTGTTGCTCGAAGGTTATGTCCGCCGGCAGAGGTCTAAGCCTGATCAACCCTGGAACATCAGAGATCAAGTTCTATGGCAAGCCCTTAGCAGAGCGTTGCCAGGGAAGGATCACAGTGATGTCTTGAAAGGCATAATCTGGAAGATCGTGTCCGGCCAGAACGTCTCCGATGTGTTGAACGCATTGAAGTCAAATGAGA